ATTACCAAACCCAATTGTTAGATGCCGACAAAATTTGGTTTCTCAGTATTAAGAAAATAGTTTCAAAAGTGATCCTTCAAAATAATTAATAGCACATTTGTCAAATATGAAGACTTCTTTTGAGAATGGAAATGAATCACATCTAATCAAATTTTTGAAGTATTCATGGCACTAAATTAGGAGCCTTATGCCTGCCCAAAAACATTGTCATAGAAACTCTGGCCCCACTATGCATTTCCAAATTTGGAAAGGGAATTTGAGGGGTTTAGTGGATGAATTTCAGCCTACACACACTCTGTCTTTATGATTTCCAATTATCAACTCTTTCCTCTATGAATTTAAGTTGTTATCTCTCTCATTTCATATGATTTTCAAACTACCAATTTCTCTCTATGTGAATTTTAGCTATAGGTCTCTCCCTCATTTTTGTTGTTATTTTGTATTTGAGTAGGAATATGGTTGGAAATGGGCTGGACAGGCTGGGCCTGAGCCTAGGTTCCTATAAGGCCGGCCTAAACTAGGGTGAAGGGGCTCTTGCTTGGCTCTTAGCCCAGAATGTGCCGAGCTTAATAGATCTAAAGGACAACAAAAAAACCTCATGCCATATTTCATCGCTAAGGCCATTTTTGTTTTTAAGAACCACAGTAGGCTGACCTTGTTGAGCTAGGCGCTCGGCTCAACAATCCATGTATCTTTCCATTTAGTGTTGGTTGTCAATCACCAAAGAAGAGTGGGGTATTTCGGAAGTGGATGTGAGGGTTAATCTCTACATTTTGTTCCGTATGGGTATTGTCAAAAGTAAACCTAAATGCCTTTGGATTCCACGTTTGGAGGGAGCATACAAACTTAATTTTGATGGTAGTTCTTTAAGAAACCCTAGTTTGGCTGGATTTGGAGAAGTGGTGAGAAATTAAGATCTGGGTTTTTCTATGCTTACGTGAAACCAATGGTTTAAAAACCGGATCGGTGACCCGGATCGGGCTTTTCAAAAACCGATCCCGATCGGCGAATCGACG